GTCGCGAACGCGCCCGTGCGACGAACGGACGAGAGACATCACGAGTGGTGAAGTGCGCGCGCCCATGATGTCTCAAGGCAATGTGGTCGTCTAGTTTCCGTCTGTATCCCCCGACGCCGCGGGGTCGTCGACCGGAGTGACCGCCGGAGCGTTCGCGGGGAACGGGACGCTGGCCTGCTCGAAATGCAGCAGCGTATGGTGTTGCATACCGCACGATCGGCATGTCCACGCGGAGGGACAATCTTTCGATCCGTGCCCTGAGCGCAGGCAGTTGAAGCACAATTTTAAGTCGCGGGCCTTAGCCTGCCTCTCTCTCGGCGAGAGTTTCAAAAACTGGTTGCACTTCGACACGTAGTGAGGCTCTTTACAAACGGGGCAATCGGCCGTGCTAGTCACGACCGAAGAGACCGGCGTTTCGGAGGACGGGCCCGCGACGGCCTCGAGAACCTGACAATGTTCTGCTAGAAATTTCGAGAGTTGAGTACATCGCGGTATTTCCTCAGCCCGATGAACGGACTCGAATTTTTCCCGAAGGGAACAAGGAAGCTTGTCTAACAAAAACTTCAGTAGGATAAAGTCCCATGAATCGGTAGGGAACTTCATCAACGCGAGCGCGCGCGTGTTCTCGGTAAACGTATCTAATAAGTGGTGAAGAGTCTCGGCCGTCTCCGCCTTCAATGGCTTTGCCTCGATTATCGAATTCAAGTGATGGTCCGCTAACCTTCTCTTATTCCGGTATCGATCGACCAGCGAGTCGTAAGCGATCAGATAGTACTCATCGGAAAACGGCAGGTCTTTCACCACGTTGAGTGGTTCCCCTTTGAGTGAAGCCAGCAGATACTGGTATTTCTCTATCGCGGAAATCTGCTGGTTGTGTATCGACGCGTTGAACAACGCGATGAAGGAAGGCCACAACGTAAGGTCGCCGGAAAACTGCGGTAGCGGGATCTTAGACAACTTGACCACCGAGGCCTGACCCGAGGGCTGTGCCGGCGCGCCTCCGAATGGCGCGCCCGTTTCGCGGTGATATCGACTCTTTACGGCGTAATGCATTTTATCGAAACTGGCTCGGATTCCGTCCTCGACCTCGAAATCCGCCGCTTCTTGTATGACCTTCAGGTGGGTGGCTTCAAAATCGTCCGCGATCTTCGCTACGCTCGAGTAGCGAGCGAGGAAGGTCGCTCGGATTGCCGCGTCGGTCGCGGCTTGTAGGGAGAGGTCGTGTATTTCTTGCATACGCCGATTGCATACTTCGCGACGAGCATATGCGTTTTTCGACATGATGTAACAAAGGGGTCGTCCACCACAGACAGACGAAGCTAAGAGCGAAGAGTAAACGACGAATAGGCAGTCGGAGGCGACGGCAACTCGAACCAACAATATCGAAACCCGGCGAAAACAATCACGAAAGTCAGGTCGCCAAGGTGAGGGGTAACGGACGGCTCCGTTCGGCGCTCGCGCAAGTCCCGAGGGAATATTCTCGATAATATTCCTCGAGTTGAACACGGAGAATATCAGCCGTTGGATTAGCGCGATAAACACGCGTCGCAGAGTTCGAAAGGCAAATATTCTCGACCGGTGACAATAATATTTTCGAGCGATGGTACTCTCGGACGGATCACGAATGTCGGGATAATACAAGTGCTGGGTCGGGCTGTACGTACCTCGCAACGACGTAAACACGAGCGATGCTCGAGACTATACAGAAAAACAACGCGCGCGAGACCGGCCCGTAATCGAAGGCCACGGCCGTTGTCTCTATGCGCGAACTTATCGCTGGCCCGGAATACTCGGATATTCGACCGAATATTTCGGTTACGATCAAGTCAATTAAATGTCGACTAATTACCGCGGCGAGCGCGGATTCGATTTTAAGGCGATTAACGGCTGCGGCCCGAGCTATGACGAACGAAGTTCGCACGCGTATTCCCGTTGCGAAGC